ACGTCATGAACGTCAATTATTGTATTGTTAGCGTGCGCCGCGTTTCGTACCCCTTGTCATTTGAAAATTTCACAGAAATTTCATTTGTTTACATTTTGTTTTGATTTTTTCACTGTATATAGAGAACATGTTCCGATATTTGTCTCATGTAAAATTGTGTACGTAAATTTAAAAATGTGAACAGTAGAGCTGCAGTCCTATTACTTTTTGAACAACCCTCGTATTTTTTCAAAATGTTCCTACAAGAAAAACGTTCACCTGCAAATGAGTATTAAGATTGGTAATGGAACTACATGTATTGTAAACGATTATCCTATTGATTTAATCCATATAACGTTTAACTATTGCACAGAATGATTGTTTTAACAAAGTATACCAGTATCCGGATGTTGAAAGCTGTCCGGTTTTCTGCAATTACTGCTGTCACATGGCCATGTGACTTTTTATGAATACTTTACCATTACTTTGCATGGCTTAATAAGACTGAGTGAGCCAGCAACATTTCATAATTTTGCTGTTTTGGGTGTTCTTTTGGGTTTCAGATTTTCTCTATTTTTAGAGGAAGTAACTTATGTTTACTAAATTATTTGTTCTTTTCTGTCTATCTTAGGTATTACTTACAATTTTTGTTGTATAAAATTTACCAGTTGTAAGGTCATCAAAGGCATAGAGGCCCGGATGACTGAATAATAATATTTTTACTGGCTTTATATACCGTATAGACTGGATTGTTCTAGTTTGTTCAGTTAGTACATACCTACAGGTATTCTGCTACAGGAATCTTAAAATCACTATGTGAAACTAATTATTATTTTATATGTGTTTGTATATAAATTTTTAATAAACCTTTGGTAAAAATGAAAGTTGGAAAATTAAAGCTATGCATATAGGTGCTTATGTCCATATATTAAAAAAGAGAAAGGATAACATCCTGAAAACATTTGATATACAAAGTATATGCAGTTAGTTATATAGTAAAGTCTAATGGAACGGTATTTGTTACTGTAAGAGATATGCATTTAATGTTTAGACACTCACACAACTCAAACTTTATTATATGATATAGACTATTTGAGATTTTTTTTTTTTTACTTTTATACTATACATTATAGTTTTCTTTCTACAAGATTATGAATTTCCATACAAGTACCAATGCTAATAGGATGTTATATTTATTTTTAATAGAAACTGGGAATTTTTAATGTTATTTGCAAATATATCTATCTTAGTATATGGATATAATGTGACTTACAATATTTCTGTATCTAAAGACTTACAGTTATGATGGATGAGACTTGCATTTAAATTTATATCAAATGATTATACAGGTTTTGATTGGTCTACAGTTTATAGGTGTTATACCCAGTGTAAGCTGGCTAAAAATAGTACTATAATAGAGTTCTTTACATCATAAGCTTCTTTTCTACTAGATTTTGAATTCCAGTCCATTTACCAATGTTATGTTAATTTAGATTTCTATTTTAATTATAGAAACTGGGGAATGTTAATGTTATTACATAATGTATATCTTAGATCTGATATGGTGAAACTTTAATAATTTTTTATTAAAAGAGTTTACAGTTATGACATTTTTATTAAAGTGGTGGAGACTTTCATTAAAGTTATAAAATAAAACGAAAATGTACTGATTAGTTAACAGGTTAATGGTTTATACCAGTGTTAGCTGGCTAAAAAATAATTTAATAAATTAAAATCTTACCTTCTGTATTCTCCTATTTTATCCATCTGAAATTGTGAGATTTGGGCAGGTTACATAATGACCTATCCAAAATTGAGGTTAATTAGTGTCAATTACTAGTTATGGCAGGGCAATGGTGCAATTCCCACTGGCAGTTGCATGGAAAATAGATTGTATTCCAAACCTTTGTGCTAGTAGGTCCTACTGGTTTTACGAAGAAAATTCCCCTTTAAAAATTTGGGTCAAGCAATAGATTTTAAAATTCAAAACTCAAAAAATTTCGAATTGTTATCTATTTTCTAACATGGGGCAAATTTTAAAAGGGAAATTTGTCTTATCTTTTTGTAATGGGGGGGACAAGGTCTGAGCCCCCATCTCCCGAAACCCAACTACAGACTTTTCATAAGGGGAGATTGTTATTCACTTTAATAAAATTTTTGACTAAAATTTTATAGTGGTGATTTGTGCCCCATGAAAACGCAAATACAAAAAGTAAAAAGTCGCCAGATGAAAAACAAAACAATTGCCCCCAAAAGGGTTCGTCTGTTTATTTTCTGTTTTCGCCCGGTTCCCCTGATGCAAAAATAAATGCCTCCAATCTTTCTTATCAAAAAAAAAAGTTAGTTTTTTAATGTCTACAAAATATAGAATTGTACATGTAATAGTACAGTTATGTTCACTTACAAATTGACCTGTTTTAAAATTGGCACAACCAATAAATGTATAAGCCGTTGTTTTTTTAGTAAAATAATATACAATATATAAATTTTATTTGATTAAAACTATAGTATGTAAGTTTTTTTCTTATTTTTTTTGATTAAAATAATCTACCTGTTTTAATTAGAAAAAATCTAAAAGTATTTGCCATGTGAAAGAACTGTTTCACTTTTAGGGAGAAAGGGGAGAAAGTGTGTAAGCGGCCGTTAGCTTAATCGCTACCGCCGCGTACATTATTCTGTGGTCATAGCATTCGAGTTCAGGTCAAGCTGAAGTATTTCTCATCCTGTGACTGCATATAACCTGAGTTTAATTCACTCATGCTCTGTAAACATCAGAAATTTAGGGACACAAATCAATATAGTGGGGAAATATGTTGTGGTTCATTATTAAAGATGAAATGTGTAGCCGGCCGGATAGCTCAGTGAATCTTCCTGACAGTCATGGGTTCGAGTCATGGTCAAGAAGTTTTAGTAAGTGTTTTTTCAACTGACACATGTTTGATTCATTTAACAGATTGTATTGAAATTTGAAATTGACAAAGGCAGTATTGTATGCATGATATTTTAGATGTACAAAAGGCATTTGATACAGTTAATCTCACTATACTGCACATGAAGAAGTTCTTCTTCTTCTTCTTCTTCTTCTTCTTCTTCTTCATGAAACTTCTAGCATCTGCCATAAATAATGACTTTATGACATGGTTCAAGTCTTATTTCTGATGGACAGCAGCTGGTGGATGTGTCTGGTACTCATTCTACTACTGCTCCGAGTACCTATTGTGTTTCCCCTGAGGTTAATTTTAGTTCCTCTTTTATGTCTAATATATGTCAATAAGCAATAAGCTTTTAATTATATTCTGGTGGCTCAGGTATCCTTGTTATATTATAAAATAAATCTGAAGAAATTCTTTTTTTGTTAATGGACTAAACATTGTCTTTGCATCTTAACAAGACAGGGTCTATCCCTTTTGGATTTAAAGTTTCAAACTTAAACTGGGCCTAGCCTCCATGTCGCATGTAATGGTATTATTTTGGCGTCGCCTTTGATGCTTTGCATCAATGCTTTTTTGTTTTCCATTGTTATGAATAATACATTAACCTACCGCCAGCCAAGGGTAGACGGGCTTTTTTGCCTCGGGATTCCTTTAACGTGGTTTTATAAACATGTATCTACAAACATGGGGCAAAGAAATGGTCCGAAAAACTTTTAAGATAATTATGTTCCTTTTGTTTGCTTTTCTATGATTGGATCTCCTGTGACGTTAGAGCTGGCTTGTTTTGTATTACATTATGTTAAAGCAACGCTTAATTGATAGCCACATATCTATTATGATAATGTTGAAATTTCTGTAAAAGCATTATAATTCAAGTACCTGTAGACAAAGGGTACTTTCGAATACTTTTTAGAATGAAGATAAGCGTTTCTTATGTTTGCTGTTTGTATAATAATCGTATGATAGAAAATGACAGACATAACAAATGAATAGTGACATACGATACTGAAAAATATATAAGAGATAAATTATCGTAAAAAATTTAGAGAATAAATATAGATAAGTGTTTTCTCATAATTATTGTCTTTCAACCATAGTATAGACAATATAATAAAGAGATAATAAAATAGCTTGATACTTAACATGTTGTTTTATAATGTATTCCTCAAGGACAAATACTTAGGTAACTGTGTAAAAAGGATAAAATATTCCTTGAATGCTCAGTGTAACACACTCTTTTAATATAATAATTTTATTTATACAATTCTTATTATCATATACTTTTTACCATTATGTCGTCTAAAATAACGGATAAGGTTAAATCAATTGCAAAGTAGGAAATAGCTCATTATAGAAGCATTTTAGTCATTTTTTTAAATACGGAAGTTATATTGCGATATGACACTTAAATGTTTTCTTCATGTTTCGGACTGGAGGCCGATATAAGTTTAACTGCATTTTTAGTGTAACAAAGCTTCATAACCGCCGATTATCCATGTGCATAAACATGGCTTAAACGGGGGACTGTTGATTACATGGCTCATTTATTTTTCTTATAAACATACATGTGTATATTGGAATCGTGACTGCTAAAAAAAACTCACAATGAAAAGTCTAGCCATCATATCTCTAAGTTCTTTCATCAGAAATGCTAACGAAGCGGTCCCGTTTTTATTTTATATAAGGTGTACAGACATTCAGTACACATGTTATCAAAATATGTGACAAAAGTTTACCATCGTTATACATGAAAGATCATTTCTGTTTTGTTATTTGTAAATGCCAATTATTGTAAATCATAATGTTTTGAGATTTTCTATACAATACTGAAAATAACTTGTATCAAATCAATTATCTCTGGTAAAGGATCGATTAATAATAGCAATCCAGCTCCGATTAATTCTTTTTGGACCAATCTACCACACACTTTTAATGTTAAATAAATATCTTTATATTAAAGGTCATATGTTTCTAATGGCAAGTTAAAAAATAATTAAATTGATATCTTGTTGTAAGTATGTCATTTCCTTTTCATATTTTGTCAATCAATGATGTTAGATTTAAGATTTAAATTAAACTCTAACTTACCGTTAACGAAATTTCATGTCCCTGAAATAAAAAAGGAATTGGAATTGTATACTTTTCCTTAACCAATCAAGAATAATATAAACATAAAATGTCTTTCAATTCACTTTTTAATTCTGATTAATGATTTAACATTAGTAAAACTAGAAAAAAATGGTTATCAAGCGAATAAAACGATGTATTTTGATATTCTATTATGATAAATGTATACAACGTTATATACAACTGATTCCTCATATGAAATGAAAAAACGAATTGAGTGCATGCGCTTATAATTGTCTTTAAATGAAAGGTGTTCCAATACAATACGCGTTGTTCACAGTTTCCCTATCAAAATGATTTAAGATCGAAAATAACACTTAAGATTATGAACTATCATAGTCTGTTTAAATAGGACAGAATATTTTAAGAAATAAGCTTTGATCGAAACGAAAATATATGAAATGTATTTTGTTAAAAATATCAGTATGTTAGAATGTACATGTATCTTTACAATGAATAAAATCATAATCAAACTAGTCTTATGTGTCCGTGCTTAATTTTGTGTATTATTGATTTCTGTCGTAAAGGGTAATGAAAGACAACCGTTGCACAAACCATTATAAAAACGAAATCAGAAATGTCTGTAGCATCAACAAAAATTGCAAAATTGTTTAGGAACGGAATAAATTGAGCACATATTCCAAACACGAATTATCTGCTTTCCATCATTGAGTGTTTATTAGTGAGTCACTTGTTTGACACAAACGAATTGCAGAAACATACAGGTAGACAGTTGTGCTCTAAAGCCTACTTTTCTTAAGTTAAATAATGAAAGAATTAAACCACCTTATACCTAAATGTAGCCCACAACATTGTGTACGTAATTTGTAATAATATGTGTGAAAAGTTGATTTCCTATCGACTGTAAAACTCTGATTTAAAGACGACTCATGAAGATATGGAAGAGACTTATTAGACATGTTTGTTCCATAATAGATCGTCATACTTTTAATGAGATGAGCTAATCCCTTGCTACCTTTCAGTAAATTTTAACACTTCAATACTATTTTGACAACTACCTCAATCAAAATCGCGGTTGAATTCATTAATGTAAAACCCCATTTACCGTCCAGTCTCAATAAATTAAAGTTTGACTCAAAGACATAAACATGTATCCCTGATATATTTGAAAGCTAAAAGAAAAATATTTGTAATACTTTATATACAAGTTTGATTTTAGACCTCACGACAGCACAATTATATAACTACTAAAGCTCTTAGTATTTTTGTTACATTGCTGAGGAATTTCAAACGCGAATTTTCCGCCATCTTATATCAACTGTAAGCAAGAAGTGTGATACGGTATCACGTTCCCTACGGCGAATTTATCAAAAAAAAGTCAAACTTATTATTTTCCAATACATGTGACAAGCTTTAAAAATAAAGAGTCATAGCCAAAACATTAAACTGGCTGGATTATAGAATTGATAATCCTAAAGCTATATAATATTATATGTTAAATCTCACTGAGTAGATGTATTACATAGAAACTAAAGCCTTTTACTTATTGGTGTCAGTAATTTCCCTTGGCTCTCTCTTTTACATTTGTCTCGGAGAAATATCGCCTCGCCCGAGGATCGAAGCAGCAACCCTGGGTTACTAATCCGATGCGTTTTATCTTTAGCTAAAAGAGTGGCTACTACTTTTAACGATTGGTATTGTTACAAATAGATTAATCTTTTTTTTACATTTTATTTTAAAAGCATGTGCTTACCATGATATAAAGTACAGTATATAGTTACATAAATATTCTTATCTTTTATTTTAAACTCACACGTCGACTTCAGTACCATATCAAGTCAATTCATTTGATACTTATCTATATTTTACAATGACATTAGAAAGGAAGAGCTTATTAATTCATAATTAGTAAACTCGTTATTTATTTTTCCGAACCTAGAGTCTGAACTTGCAATTCATGAATCTATTGTCTGATTGTATTGTTTTACTTTGTATTTTGGTCACGAGGCTTATCACTTTAAACAGACTATTTTCGAATGCAGTGTTACACGCCTGGTAAATGATCGAGCTACCTCTTTCGGGAGATATACAGATATACGGTAAATTGCTCTATCTAATGCGCGCTATTCTGTAATGATAGACAGAACACGACTTTGTTGTTCTACAATAATTAGGAGAAAATCTTATTTAACAATAAAGCCACAAATAGATATTTATCAGTGAATTCTAAGATATATAATCCAAATTCTTAGAAATTGCTTCAGCTAGATTATTTAAATCATTTTCGTCTTGTTGGAAAAGGAACAATTAAATGGATAATATGAATAAATACACATTCAGGAGAAAGGGCTTTAAAATGGTATTAATTAAAAAAAGCCATTGAGACCAAGCTGAAGTAAACAAATTCATTCAGCACAGTCACATGAAACATGTAACCTATTAATAAAACATGTCATTTCTAGATAAAGTTATTTGTTGTTTATTTTGTTATCATTATTATATTCAGATCAAGAAATTAAATGCAATTTAGACATGATACACTATATTTACTTAAAGAATCTGTTTAAAAATCTTTTTGCATGACTTTTCAAAATATGTAGTGTTTATGATACCTAGATTTGTTTTTTTAATGCATTATTCCACATAGTACCGTTAAACATATACATAGCTTTGGATTCAAATTTTTAAATCACTATTTATGTACCTCTCGGTAAGCGCTCGAAATAAAAACAGGCGCCTGTTAAAATCATTTTAATGGCACCACTTGTTCAATATTGTATACAAATCATTTCGTAAATATTTGTTCAGCTTTGTTAAAAAGGTTTTCGTTTCCTTTCATATAGTTGGTGAGTCTACATTATTTCGTTTTCATTTCAATGATAATTTATTTTGTTTTATATCAATCTTGTCTCTCTAATTTAATCATCTTGACATTCATACAAATAAGTAACATAATAAAGGCATGTAACCCGGTTTTAAAACATCATCATTGTAGAAAATTCCAGTTGGAATACAAATGCAAGCCACATACAATTTACAATGTCAATGATAAAAGATGATGATATAGAATAATTAAACAAGCTTTTGTAAAAGCAGCATATTCAAAAATTGATGATTAATTGACTTTGGCGGAGGGGAAGGGATTTGCTTAAGCAATCTATGCTTGGTCTTCACATAAATTAGCTACACATCCTCCTTTCTCTACCTATTTAGCTGAAATCAATTTTCAATTTTGGTAATAGTGACCATGATATTGATCCTATGGGACTCAGTAGCACTCTTACGTGAGAATTTCAATTATGATGCCAAACAACAAGTTTAAAAACAATTTCTCATTCCGAAATGTTATTATATACTGGAAACCGATTTTCCGTTTTTTAGTAAACGTGACGTAGAGTTGGTACTAGAAGGAACAAAAATAAATCCCAAGCTAGCGTTTCACATTAAGTTTCATGCTCACCACGTGTGCATGGACTATCTCATTCCAAACTGTTGCTTTTTACTCGAAACCAATTGTCTATTTAAGCAACAAAGATCTTGACCCTAGGGGACTCCAAAGCATTCTCAAGCGAGGTCTTCATTATGCTTGCTTTACACCAAGTTCCACTGAATATCTTATTCCAAACTATTGTAATTGATCGCATACAATTTTTTTTTGTTTCTAGGTTCAACGGCCTCGACTCTAGATGACCGAAAACAATCAAGGTGAAGTCTTCACATAAACTTGCACCACACCATCTTATATTAAAAAAAACTCGTTCTTATCAATAGTTATTGACCAGAAAAACTAATTTCCTCATTTTAATAGTGACCTTGACCCTAGGGAGAACCAAAACCAATTGTAAGGGAGGTCTTCATAAAACAAAGCTAAACATTTATATTCATTTAAATATAAACTCAAAATAATTTTCTATTTTAGTAACAGTGACCTTGATATTGGTCCGTACTGGTCCTTTCAGCGAAGAAAATGTCCTTAAATTTGGATCAAGCAATATAATTTATAAAGTCTCAAAACTTCATATTCTGAATTGTTATTCTATTTTTTTCTAACATGTGCATAGTTTGAAAAGGACAGCTTCTGTCTTATCTATTTGTAATGGAGGGACACAGGTCTGAGCCTCTAGGTCTCCAGAGTCAAACCAACTACAGACTTTTCATAAGGTAGATTGTTACTTGCACTTGAATAAATTTTTGCACTAACTTTTAAAGTGGGTGATTTGTGCCACAGGAAAACCGACAAAGTACAAAAGTAACCAGTCGCCAGATGAAAACATCAAAATACAATCTGCCACAAAGTGGTTCGTCTGTTGTATTTTCATGTTTTCGCCCGGTGCCCCCTGATGCAAAATATAAATCAGCCTCCATAATCTTTCTTATCAAAGAAAAAAAGTTAGTTTTAATCTACAAAATATAGATATTGTACATGTAATAGTACAGTTATGTTCACTTACAAATTGACCTGTTTTAAATATTGGCACAACCAATAAATGTATAAGCCGTTTTTTAGTAAAATAATTATACAATATATAAATTGTTATTTTGATAAAGACTTATTTCTTATTTGTTTAATTAAAAATTAATCTACCTGTTAATTAAAAAATCTAAAAGTATTTGTCATGATGAAGAACTGTTCACTATTTAGGGGAGAAAAGGGGAGAAAGTGTGTAAGCGGCCAGTTAGCTTAATCGCTACATTATTCTGTGGGTCATAGATTCGAGTTCAGGTCAAGCTGAAAGTATTTCTCATCCTGTGACTGCATATAACCCTGAGTTTAATTCACTATGCTCTGTAAACATCAGAAATTTAGGGACACAAATCAATATAGTGGGGAAATATGTTGTGGTTCATTATTAAAGATGAAATGTGTAGCCGGCCGGATAGCTCAGTGAATCTTCTGACAGTCATGGGTTCGAGTCATGGTCAAGAAGTTTTAGTAAGTGTTTTTTCAACTGACACATGTTTGATTCATTTAACAGATTGTATTAAATTTGAAATTGACAAAGGCAGTATTGTATGCATGATACTTTTAGATGTACAAAAGGCCTTTGATACAGTTGATCTCACTATACTGCACATGAAGAAGTTCTTCTTCTTCTTCTTCTTCATGAAACTTCTAGCATCTGCCATAGGTAATGACTTTCTTACATGGTTCAAGTCTTATTTCTGATGGACAGCAGCTGATGGATGTGTCTGGTACTCATTCTACTACTGCTCCGAGTACCTATTGTGTTCCCCTGAGGTTCATTTCAGTTCCTCTTTTATGTCTAATATATGTCAATAAGCAATAAGCTTTTAATTATATTCTGGTGGCTCAGGTATCCTTGTATATTATAAAATAAATCTGAAGAAATTCTTTTTTTGTTAATGGACTAAACATTGTCTTTGCATCTTAACAAGACAGGGTCTATCCCTTTTGGATTAAGTTTCAACTTAAACTGGGCCTAGCCTCCATGTCGCATGTAATGGTATTATTTTGGCGTCGCCTTTGATGCTTTGCATCAATGCTTTTTTGTTTTCCATTGTTATGAATAATACATTCACCTACCTCCTGCCAAGGGTAGACGGGCTTTTATGACTCGGGATTCCTTTTACGTGGTTTTATTAAATTTTCTACACATATAGGGCAAAAAAATGGTCCGAAAAACTTTTAAGATAATTATGTTCCTTTTGTTTGCTTTTCTATGATTGGATCTCCTGTGACGTTAGAGCTGGCTTGTTTTGTATTACATTATGTTAAAGCAACGCTTAATTGATAGCCACATATCTATTATGATAATGTTGAAATTTCTGTAAAAGCATTATAATTCAAAGACCTGTAGACAAAGGGTACTTTCGAATACTTTTTAGAATGAAGATAAGCGTTTCTTATGTTTGCTGTTTGTATAATAATCGTATGATAGAAAATGATAGACATAACAAATAAATAGTGACATACGATACTGAATAATATATAAGAGATAAATTATCGTAAAAAATTTAGAGAATAAATATAGATAAGTGTTTTCTCATAATTATTGTCTTTCAACCATAGTATAGACAATATAATAAAGAGATAATAAAATAGCTTGATACTTAACATGCTGTTTTATAATGTATTCCTCAAAGACAAATACTTAGGTAACTGTGTAAAAAGGATGAATTATTCCTTGAATGCTCAGTGTAACACACTCTTTTAATATAATAATTTTATTTATACAATTCTTATTATCATATACTTTTTACCATTATGTCGTCTAAAATAACGAATAAGGTTAAATCAATTGCAAAGTAGGAAAAAGCCTATTGTATAATCATTTTAGTCATCTTTTTAATTACGGAAGTTATAATGCTATTTGACACTTAAATGTTTTCTTCATGTTTCGGACTGGAGGCCGATATAAGTTTAACTGCATTTTTAGTGTAACAAAGCTTCATAACCGCCGATTATCCATGTGCATAAACATGGCTTAAACGGGGGACTGTTGATTACATGGCTCATTTATTTTTCTTATAAACATACATGTGTATATTGGAATTGTGACTGCTAAAAAAACTCACAATGAAAGGTCTAGCCATCATATCTTTAAGTTCTTTCATCAGAAATGCTAACGAAGCGGTCCCGTTTTTATTTTATATAAGTGTACAGACATTCAGTACACATGTTATCAAAGTATGTGACAAAAGTTTACCATCGTTATACATGAAAGATCATTTCTGTTGTGTAATTTGTAAATGCCAATTATTGTAAATCAAAATGTTTTGAGATTTTCTATACAATACTGAAAATAACTTGTATCAAATCAATTATCTCTGGTAAAGGATCGATTAATAATAGCAATCCAGCTCCGATTAATTCTTTTTGGACCAATCTACCACACACTTTTAATGTTAAATAAATATCATTATATTAAAGGTCATATGTTACTAATGGCAAGTTAAAAAAGAAAAATTGATATCTTGTTGTAAGTACGTCATTTCCTTTTCATATTTTGTCAATCAATGATGTTAGATTTAAGATTTAAATTAAACTCTAACTTACCGTTAACGAAATTTCATGACCCTGAAATAAAAAAGGAATTGGAATTGTATACTTTTCCTTAACCAATCAAGAATAATATAAACATAAAATGGCTTTCAATTCACTTTTTAATTCTGATTAATGATTTAACATTAGTAAAACTAGAAAAAAGTAGTTATCAAGCGAATAAAACGATTTATTTTGATATTATATTATGATAAATGTATACAACGTTATATACAACTGATTCCTCATATGAAATGAAAAAACGAATTGAGTGCATGCGCTTATAATTGTCTTTAAATGAAAGGTGTTCCAATACAATACGCGTTGTTCACAGGTTCTCTATCAAAATGATTTAAGATCGACAATAACACTTAAGATTATGAACTATCATAGTCTGTTTAAATAGGACAGAATATTTTAAGAAATAAGCTTTGATCGAAACGAAAATATATGAAATGTATTTTGTTAAAAATATCAGTATGTTAGGATGTACATGTATCTTTACGATGAATAAAATCATAATCAAAATAGTCTTATGTGTCCGTGATTAATTGTGTGTATTATTGATGGGTAATGAAAGAAAACCGTTGCACAAACGAAAACGAAATCACAAATGTCTGTAGCATCAACAAAAATTGCAAAATTGTTGAGAAACGGAATAAATTGAGCACATATTCCAAACACGAATTATCTGCTTTCCATCATTGAGTGTTTATTAGTGAGTCACTTGTTTGACACAAACGAATTTCAGAAACATACAGGTAGACAGTTGTGCTCTAAAGCCTACTTTTCTTAAGTTAAATAATGTACCCTTGAAAGAATTAAACCACCTTATACCTAAATGTATCTAGCCCACAACATTGTGTACGTAATTTGTAATAATATGTGTGAAAAGTGGATTTCCTATCGACTGTAAAACTCTGATTAAAAGACAAATCATGAAGATATGGAAGAGACTTATTAGACATGTTTGTTCCATAATAGATCGTCATACTTTTAATGAGATGAGCTAATCCCTTGCTACCTTTCAGTAAATTTTAACACTTCAATACTATTTTGACAACTACCTCAATCAAAATCTCGGTTGGATTCATTAATGTAGAACCCCATTTACCGTCCAGTCTCAATAAATTAAAGTTTGACTCAAAGACATAAACATGTATCCCTGATATATTTGAAAGCTAAAAGAAAAATATTTGTAATACTTTATATACAACTTTGATTTTAGACCTCACGACAGCACAATAATATAACTACTAAGCTCTTAGTATTTTTGTTACATTGCTGAGGAATTTCAAACGCGAATTATCCGCCATCTTATATCAACTATAAGCAAGAAGTGTGATACGGTATCACGTTCCCTACGGAGAATTTATAAAAAAAAAGTCATACTTATTGTTTTCCAATACATGTGACAAGCTTTAAAAATAAAGAGTCATAGCCAAAACATTAAACTGGCTGGATTATAGAACTGATAATCCTAAAGCTATATAATATCATATGTTAAATCTCACTGAGTAGATGTATTACATAGAAACTAAAGCCTTTTACTTATTGGTGTCAGTAATTTCCCTTGGCTCTCTCTTTTACATTTGTCTCGGAGAAATATCGCCTCGCCCGAGGATCGAAGCAGCAACCCTGGGTTACTAATCCGATGCGTTTTATCTTTAGCTAAAAGAGTGGCTACTACTTTTTAACGATTGGTATTGTTACAAATAGATTAATCTTTTTTTTACATTTTATTTTAAAGCATGTGCTTACCATGATATAAAGTACAGTATATAGTTACATAAATATTCTTATCTTTTATTTTAAACTCACACGTCGACTTCAGTACCATATCAAGTCAATTCATTTGATACTTATCTATATTTTTACATGACATTAGAAAAGGAAGAGCTTATTAATTCATAATTAGTAAACTCGTTATTTATTTTTCCGAACCTAGAGTCTGAACTTGCAATTCATGAATCTATTGTCTGATTGTATTGTTTTACTTTGTATTTTGGTCACGAGGCTTATCACTTTAAACAGACTATTTTCAAATGCAGTGTTACACGCCTTGTAAATGATAGAGCTACCTCTTTTGGGAGATATACGGTAAATCGCCCTATCTAATGCGCGCTATTCTGTAATGATAGACAGAACACGACTTTTTTTGTTCTACAATAAATAGGAGAAAATCTTATTTAACAATAAAGCCAAAATAGATATCTATCAGTAAATTCTAAGATATATAATCCAAAATCTTAGAAATTGCTTCAGCTAGATTATTTGAATCATTTTCGTCTTGTTGGAAAAGGAACAATTAAATTTATAGAATGAATAAATACTCATTCAGGAGAAAGGGCTTTAAAATGGTATTAATTAAAAAAATCCATTTAGACCAAGCTGAAGTAAACAAATTCATTCAGCACAGTCACATGAAACATGCAACCTATTAATAAAACATGTCATTTCTAGATAAAGTTATTTGTTGTTTATTTTGTTATCATTATTATATTTAGATCAAGAAATTAAATGCAATTTAGACATGATACACTATATTTACTTAAAGAATCTGTTTAAAGATCTTTTTGCATGACTCTTCAAAATATGTAGTGTTTATGATACCTAGATTTGTTTTTTAAATGCATTATTCCACATAGTACCGTTAAGCATATACATAGCTTTGGATTCAAAATTTTAAATCAATATTTGTGTACCTCTCGGTAAGCACTCGAAATAAAAACAGGCGCCTGTTAAAATCATTTTAATGGCACCACTTGTTCAAAATTGTATACAAATCATTTCGTAAATATTTGTTCAGCTTTGTTAAAAAGGTTTGCGTTTCCTTTCATATATTTGGTGAGTCTACATTATTTCGTTTTTATTTCAATGATAATTTATTATGTTTTATATCAATCTTGTCTCTCTAATTTAATCATCTTGACATTCATACAAATAAGTTACATAATAAAGGCATGTAACCCGGTTTTAAAACATCATCATTGTAGAAAATTCCAGTTGGAATACAATTGCAAGCAACATACAATTAACAATGTCAATGATAAAAGATGATGATATAAAATAATTAAACAAGCTTTTGTAAAAGCAGCATATTCAAAAATTGATGATAAATTGACTTTGGCTGAGGGGAAGGGATTTGTTAAAGCAATCTATGCTTGGTCTTCACATAAAATAGCTACACATCCTCCTTTCTCTACCTATTTAGCTGAAATCAATTTTCAATTTTGGTAATAGTGACCATGATATTGATCCTATGGGACTTAGGAGCACTCTTACGTGAGAATTTCAATAATGATGCCAAACAACAAGTTTAAAAACAATTTCTCATTCCGAAATGTTATTATATACTGGAAACCGATTTTCCGTTTATAGTAAACGTGACGTAGAGTTGGTACTAGAAGGAACAAAAATAAATCCCAAGCTAGCGTTTCACATAAAGCTTCATGCTCACCACGTGTGCATGGACTATCTCATTCCAAACTGTTGCTTTTAACTCGAAACCAATTGTCTATTTAAGCAACAAAGATCTTGACCCTAGGGGACTCCAAAGCATCTAAAGCGAGGTCTGTATATAAGCTTGCTATACACCAAGTTCCACTGAATATCTTATTCCAAACTATTGTAATTGATCGCATACAATTTTTTTTGTTTCTATGTTCAACGGCCTCGACTCTAGATGACCGAAAACAATCAAGGTGAAGTCTTCACATAAACTTGCACCACACCATCTTATATTAAAAAAACTCGTTCTTATCAATAGTTATTGACCAGAAAACTAATTTCCTCATTTTAATAGTGACCTTGACCCTAGGGGGAGCCAAAACCAATTGTAAGGGAGGTCTTCATAAAACCAAGCTAAACATTTATATTCATTTAAATATTAACTCAAAAATAATTTTCTATTTAAGTTACAGTGACCTTGATATTAATCATATGGGCTAAGGAGCCAGTCTTAAGTGAGGTATTTAAATATAATACCAAACAACATGTTTAAAAACAATTTCTCATTTCTAAATCTAATTATATTCTCGAACCTGAACCTAGGGGGACAAAAGCAACTCCAATGGGAGTCTTCATAAAATCAAATTATACGTTAATATTATTTAAATATTAAATTCCAAACTCGGGTGACTGGAAACCAATTTCCTATCTTTAGTGACCGTGACCTTATTTCTTAGGGGCCAACGGCAATTTCAATCGAGGTATAATCTTATTATACACTACATTTCATTGAACTTCTCATCCCCCACTAAAATTACTGACCGGGAAGCATCATCTACTTTTTGTGACATTAACATTGACATTGGAAGTCCAAATGCAAAACGTGATCGTCACATAATCTTGCCGTACCTCAATTATAACTGAACTATTACAATTCTAATTCGAATTATTGACTGGAAACTGATTTTCTTATTTAAGTAACAGTGATTTTGATCTTGTGTCTAGGGGCCCAAAAATCATTCCACAGTGAGGTATTCACGTACGCCAGCTATACACCAAGATTCTTGAAATAACTCGATCTAAACTCTAGGTTTTGACCGGAAACCGATTTTCCATATTATAACATTGCTATTTTGTTATTTTTTGTTGTTGTTTTTTTTTCTTCTCTCTTTCTAAACATTCTACCTTGTTTTTGATATCAAGATCATAGTTTTGTATGAAATACAGTTTAACCAATTGAACGATTAGCTTTAATGATAATGAAGAACACAGTCAAATATCTTTGAAAGATGTTAACGACGTTGGAAGGTATAATATTTCTTCTTTACTTTTGTTCATTATAATCAAATTATATTTTCCTTTTTTCTTCAGTAAACATGAAACTGTGGGAGAAGATATATATCAACAGAAAATGAACGTTTTCTGTTTTTTCTGATAGATATAAATTCTATGTTAATGTGTATATAAGAAAGTAAGATGAAATGTATCTTTACTATAAAGTTCATCAAATAACTAAAATTTAAGAGAAGAATTTCTTAAGACAAGTTGTCTTTCATTCTAATCCTGTTTTTAAGAATATTTGAATT